CAATATCTTTAAAAAAAATAAAATACTTGGGAATTAACCTAACAAAAGAGGTGAAAGATTTATACAATGAAAACTATAGAACCCTAAAGAGAGAAATAGAAGAAGATCTTAGAAGATGGAAAAATATACCCTGTTCATGGATAGGCAGAACTAACATCATCAAAATGGCGACATTACCAAAAGTTGTCTATAGATTTAATGCAATGTCAATCAAAATCCCAACGGCATTTCTTGTAGAAACAGATAAAGCAATCATGAAATTCATATGGAAAAATAAAAGACCCAGATTAGCAAAAGCAATTCTTAGCAGGAAGAGTGATTCAGGTGGTATAGCGATACCAGACTTCAAACTATATTACAGAGCAATAGTAACAAAAACAGCATTGTACTGGTACCAAAACAGGCAGGTGGACCAATGGTACAGAATAGAGGACACAGAGACCAATCCACAAAATTATAGTTATCTTATATTTGACAAAGGGGCTAAAAGCATGCAATGGGGAAAGGATAGCATCTTCAACAAATGGTGCTGGGAAAACAGGAAATCCATATGCAACAAAATGAATCTGAATCCCTTTCTCTCGCCATGCACAAAAGTTAACTCAAAATGGATCAAGGAGCTTGATATCAAAACAGAGACTCTGCGTCTGACAGAAGAAAAAGTTGGCTCCGATCTACATATTGTGGGGTCGGGCTCCAAATTCCTTAATAGGACACCCATAGCACAAGAGTTAATAACAAGAATCAACAAATGGGAGTTACTCAAACTAAAAAGTTTTTTTCTCAGCAAGAAAAACAATAAGAGAGGCAAATAGGGAGCCTACATCATGGGAACAAATTTTTACTCCTCACACTTCATATAGAGCCCTAATATCCAGAGTATACAAAGAACTCAAAAAATTAAACAATAAGAAAACAAATAATCCAATCAACAAATGGGCCAAGGACCTGAACAGACACTTCTCAGAGGAGGACATACAATCAATCAACAAGTACATGAAAAAATGCTCACCATCTCTAGCAGTCAGAGAAATGCAAATCAAAACCACCCTAAGATACCATCTCACTCCAGTAAGATTGGCAGCCATTATGAAGTCAAACAACAACAAGTTAATATAAGGACATCTGTTTAAAGGTGATGCTAACTATTAATCTTTGTGTATTAAGTATACTCATTTCTTGTAGTATAGAAGTTTTAAAATGTAAAGCTTAGAAAAGCACTTTACCACGTGAATGTTGCCCAAATAAAGTTGTCTGAAATGGTAACTTTAAACTTAAAGAAATAACAAATTTAATTGGAGATTTATTTATATCAATTAATGTAACAGGACCAGTTATCAATAACATGTATATAAAATATTATGTTACTTTTTACACTGGGGTAGAAATTTAAATGTCTTTTTAAAAGAATGAGACCTGATCTGTTTAAAGGTGGACATTGTAAAACATGAAAACATTTGGCACTTTCCCACAGAAAAGGGTAAAAATCTCTCTAAGCTTTCCTTTGATTCATATTTCAGATATAATATGTTACTTGTGAAGACTCTATATGTTAATGTTTTGCAGAAGCACTCCTTCAAGAATAAACCACCTGAGTTAATTTGACTTAATAAGCCATCCCCTACAGGACAGATGGGATATAAGGCTAATTTCCAGTAGTAATATAGACCCCAATTAAATAAAAGGATTTAATGACTTTAAGGTTATACACATTCAAGTTAAAGCCCACTTCTCTTACTTTAAGACTGGTGAAACTGGCTTGCTGGATGTTTAAGGCCAAGGCTTAAAGATACAGGCTAATAAAGGAGCCAAGAAAACTATATTTGGCTTCTGCCTTCTGAGTCAGCCTAAACCCAGGGAACAAGAGACCTTCTCTAAGGAGCTTTGCAACTCTGGGTCACATGACCTCCCAATCTGGGAGATTAATGAATCTGCTGGAGAACTGAAAGCTAAATAGTGCACCTGCTGCAAAAGAGGAAGGTCATTGGAGAAGAAAAACATCCCTGATGCTTCCAAGGGAAGCCATCTCATCACAGAGACCATACCTAGCAGATGGCACTAAAAAGCTAAGAACTTGCTTTTAACTTTCCCAAGACTAACCCCTGTGGGATCTCAGCTGACTCTGAACTGCAGATAGGAACCGAGCTTGGTCTTAAACACCTAGCAAAAACATTTATAACCAAAATGCAGCCATACCTGGGCATTTAAAAAGAAAAACGATAATACTTTTAATAGAATTTAAGATGTTCACTTATGTCAAGTACACATCCCTGATGCCTTCTTAAATTCTGAGTTTTTTTCACTTTGTGAGGCTCATAATTATCCCTGCCTACCAAATTTAGATTGACCTCTGTACCCTAATCTTCCTTACTCCTCCTCAAACTGATGATTTACCTCACAACAAAAGGCTATCCTTTCCAATAATAGCACACACCAGATGTGGGAATCCCCTTAAATTATTGCCTTACCCCTAGGGCTAAGAACATCTACTGGGATTGGTACAGGAGCAGCAGGATTAGGAACCTCTATTCACTTCAAAAATCATAAGTACAAGTTATTACAGATATCTAAGAGATCACTGATTTG